AGTTTCTCTTCTCTCATGAACTAGGTTATTTGACCACTGAGTTTGCTATGCTTTGGACTTTTCATTTATTGAAAACTTAGCTAAGTTTGAGAATTTGGGGAATATGCAGTTCTGGTTGACTAAAGTTTGCTTTCCATTTGATTATCTAACTTTGATTATTTTGGTTAATGCTTACTTAGAATTGTGCAGCAGTTTCTGAAGGAAATATCATCTGATTCGCGTATCTGCCTTGTTCCATGCTGTATTATTAACTGTCTCTCTATATGTATTTATTTATATATATTCATATATTATTTATGAATACCAGTTCTGGTTAGCTTCTATTCAAGACAAAGAAAGCAAGTTCTGAAGCCTAAGCCTAAGCCCAAGCCTAAGTCTTCCTCTGATCACCTCCATATTCTACCTAAACCTTCCTAAGTCAGTGAGACTTCGTCACTGTGTTCTCACGGGTAGGCAGCCTTTCCCATGCTAAGCCTTTTGCTGGCCACGGAAACACACCTGTCTTTACAATCCCCCAAAACCACATACTTAGAATTCTTTGGTTTATAATCAAAATTGTTGCATCTTCTCAAAAAAAAATGCAGGAGGCGCTCCAGTACTCCCAATGAGCTGCTAGAAATAATGCTTTGACTATCTGTCAAAAGATACCGATACAGATGCTACTGAAGACCTCCCCCCAAATTTTATTTCAAAGGAAAAGAGGAGAAATGGAGACCCCCATTTCTCAAGGGAAGTATGCTAGACAGATAAGGGTCGGTTTTGGAGGAGAAATAGTAGGTAGTTTATGTGTGCATGTCTGTCCAATTCCTGCCTTTTTCCAGCAAAATGAGCCTAGCCTTCCAGCATAATACTTCTTGGCCCCCAAATAATCTCCACTATATGTCAACCCCACTGCCTGCTAGGGACAGTTCACTAGCATTGCTCCCAGCAAATCCCGTTGATTTCATTACATAGTTATAAGTAGCTGTGCCCCTTGCTCCTTCTTGCAAGGAGAGAGAGTTCTGGGATGCAGGTGAAAAGGTGACTTCTCTCTTAAAGGATAGGGTGGGTCTTATGTTCTTGTGTGAGGAGCAGCATCCTATATATTTAACCCTTATTCCAAGACAGAAATGTTTCCAGTGATTGCTTCTCTGGAGATGACATAGGTGACTGCATGACACTATGAATTTCCTAAATCCAAGCATGAAGTCACAACTTTCACCGGCGAGAAGAGTGCTGAAATCGTGATTTAAAGTGGTGTCTGTAACATATGCTTAGGGGAAGTCCCTGAGTTGAAGACAGCTGAAGCAAGGAGGGTGACAGAGAAGGAAACAGGGCCTGCCCTATATTTATAGTCCTTGCAAGACACCTGACATTAGCCAGACACCCTCCCTTTTCCAGATACCTGATTTTGGTGCGGTCCTGCACCAGAGGCTGAAAAGAGGACACATTCCACCCTGTTCAAGGGCTGCTCGAGTATGACACTAGCACCACAGTAATACACCTCCTTGCCACCTCACTTTACTGCCTGATCCTCAGCATGAATCTCTTCTGGGAGTCCTCTCCTCTCTCCTCAAAGCAAACCCAGAACGCCTTACATAGAAATTGCCATTCTTCCAGTAACAGAACGTGCTCGGGCACCTCTCCTCTTCTTCATGACCTTTCAAAGATGACACAAAGTGGCTTAGCAATAATGCCCACCACTTCCCTCAGCATACATGAATGCATCCCACTAGGTCCCACAGATATGTGAGTAGACGTATAGTTGCCTAGATAACCTCTAAGCCAATCTTCTTCAGCCGTGGGAAAGTCTTCCTCTCCTCAGGGTTTCTCTCTTGTCTCTGGGTTTGTGGGGAGTATCCTTAGAAGTAAAGACTGAAGCAAAGAAGGCATTCATTAAGTCTGCCTTCTCTGTATCCTGTGTCCCCAGGGCACCAGCCCCATTCAGCAGTGGGCCCACATTTTCCCTAGTCCTCCTTTTGCTGCCGAACCCAGGGCAGGTGGGTGCAGCTTTGCAGAGAAAATACCCTGTCGCAGACAGGCTGCAAGGAGTGAACACAGGTATAGCAGGAGTATATAGCCGGAGGAAAAGCAGGTCTGAAGCAGAGATCAGACTGAGGTTTCCTGATTAGCAGCAGAAAACAATGTATAGACATTTCCTTCCATGTTAGAGGTCCTATCTAATACTGCCCTGACTGGCTGTATACACAGGGCAGAGATCAAAGATCTCTGGGAAATCTTCACTAGCAAACTCTGCACCTCTCCATGGCTTCATGCAGGTAGAATTCCTGTCAAGCCAAGCTGGAGCTGGAATATTTTATACAAAGTTGGAGGTCTCTTCCCTTGCTCTGTCCTAAATCAGGAGAAACACTGAGAGGAAAGGGCTGATCAATGCCCCGGGGTGGAGGCACAGCGCTCCCACAGACCCTTTTCCCTGCAGGCAGCCGAAAGGCTGCGTTTAGGAAGCAGCTCTTGCCTGGCGCCCCCTTCTGCTTTGTGGCTGCTTGAAGGAAATGCTGACTTGTCTGGACTCCCTCGCGGCCACTTCTTGTTCCACCCTGCTCAAGAGCTGCTTCACTGTGAGCCAAGCACCACAGTAATAAACGGCTGTGTCCTCTGGTAATCCTCAGGGTGAATTTGTTGTCAGCATTCTCGGATTCCACCTCGAAGCCATCTTGGAAACCATGTGCACACTGAGCATTCTGATCACACACCTGGGTGAGAGAGCCCTGCAGCTCCTGCTGGTACCAGAACATGCCGTAGCTGCTCATGGGCACCCCTCCCTGGGCGCCTCTCACCTGCCACCAGAGCTGCCAGGGACACATCCATGAGCCAAGGCATCATCGCGGGCAGCATCGCGCCCTGCCACCCCGGGCCCGGGCCCATAGCCGGGCCAAGCGGGGCCAAGCGGCTCCAGCGGGAGGCGCAGAGCAGCAGAGCGGCACCGCTCGGTCCCGCTCCTGCCCGCAGCGGCAATGAGGCTGGATGGGAGTCATGCACTTGATTCCTTCTGCACCTCAAGCCCCACAAACTACACAGGGCTCAGCCAGGCATTACAGTGTTGGTGCTCCTCAGTAGAATAGGGTGACTCTCCTCTGTGTCTTTATGCTACTTGGGAAGGAACCAGAGCTTCTATACGCCCCTTTCCATGTCCACACCAGGACACCTTCAAGGACCTGCCACCCTGTCATGATCCCAGGTCCTTCCACCATTTTGGAGTGTCGTCATCCTCCTTGACCCAAAGCTTCTTGAACTTCCAGCTCCCCATCATTCCCTAGGCACTCTACCCTGGTCCCCTGGGGAGGAGGTGCAGGGTATGTGTACAAACTGGAGATGCACAGGATAAAGGAAAAGAAAGGTCCCTCTGGACCTAGAGACTAGAGGTGGGAAGAGAAGGCAGAGATTCAAGGTGATGGCTGGGGGAAGGTCCTCAACAGAGAAGGAGTAGGGCACTGCTGGCACCTGGGGCTATCCCTGTGGGGGAAGTGCTTCTGGGTCCTCTGCAGTACTTAAACACTGAGGACGTCCAAGACGTTTTACGGGCCTATACACACATGGAGACAGAAAAATCAACCAAAAGAGGCAGCGAGAGAAAAAAAAAAAAGCCATTTTATTCCCTCTAGGAAAAAATCTGCTCTGCAAATCAGCTCTTCATGCTGCATTTCTGAAGAAATTCCTAGGGAACTGAAGCATCCATCCTCCATTGAACTGGAGCTTCCCTGTTAGATTCTCTCAGGGCTCTTTCTGCTTCTTCCCAAGCACCTCTTTTCCTTTTGCTCTGTGTCTGTGAGGGAGCCTGAGGAGGATGAAAGGAGGCAACAGCAGGTTTACGGTTTGGGGCCTTTTCCTGCAGCCAGCACAGAGCCCAGGTGTGAATTCTCACACCTCAAAGGGAAGGGAAGTCCTCACTAGCAAACTCTGCACCTGCTAACAGCTCCATGCAGGTGGAATGCCTGGCATGCCAAGTTGGAGATGGAACATTTTATACGAAGCTCAAGGTCTCTTCCTAGCTTTATCTTTAATCAGGA